TGAAGGCATGTTCAAGATGATACCATGCAGGTTACAAATCATCAATATTGATAATTGGTGTACTAATTAATGTCAAAGAAATCGTCAAAGAAAGTGTCAAAGAATTAGTTTGGCGATACAGCGAGGCAACGCTGCCAGTCTTCTGGGGACCGTGCCCCGCACAGGCGAACTCAATGAAATATTTAATTTGTAATTGTTGTTTTACCTTTTGTTGACATTTATATATGTCTTTATATATCTTTTAGACAGCATATTGCAAATCTAGTAGTCAGGATCCGTAAATTAATGTATATTTTTAAAAAATTACGTACCATTGCAGGTCCAAAACTAATTAAACAGGTATATCAGGCCTTAAGAGTAATCAAAATGAGGTAATCCGACAGAGAACCAGAGTTATCGACATAGCCCACCGGATTAGCAAGTTGAAGTGGCAGTGGGCTGGCCATATTTGCCGAAGAACCGATAACCGTTGCCCAAGCCAAGCCCAGCCCAAGATCGATCTGAGTGGCGTGCATTTGGAGAGGTCTATGTCCAGCAGTGAACTATGATAGGCTGTTGATGATGATTGATGATCAGGCCTTATGCCAATCAGTAATTCAATATTGTATAACTTCATGGGGTGGAGCTCTCAAAACTATTTTAATCCCTCTCGAGCGAGCTCAGAGAGCCATTTTAAAAGTAGCCAATTCACTTCCCTTCTTATATCCTACGCATCAACTTTACAAATACTGTAATGTGTTAACTGTTCGCCAGCTTTTCATTATGCACACCATATTAAAACAACACACCATTTCACCTTTTTGCTCTGATATCACTAACAAAAGACGGAATGATATAGTCTGCATCTCTACACATGATTCAAAATACATCTTTTCACATAGATTCTCTACTTTCCTAAGTCCTTTCTTATAAAATAAGTTAAATAGAGTGCTAGGTATTTATACATTAAACTATTTTAACTGTAGAACTGTAGTATATTTAATTATTTGCACAGCCTGACATACGAGCAGACCGAAGAATTACTTCTTATTTGTAAATAAATGAACGTAATTCCATAATTTACATTTACCAACATTTATACAATGATTACTTTAAGTTCTGTTTTAATTAATTTGTCAATTTATTAATCATTCAATGTATTATTTAGATCATAAAAGCCTGAAATACAGGTACAATTTTAACTGTAACCTAGTTCAGGCATCCATTATTTTGTACTTTATATTGTTATTAGTATTATTATGCAATGTATGACCTTATTTGAATAAAGATATATTTATTATTATTATTTATTTTATATCAAAAATAAACTATTTGTGTGCCAAAGTTTATCCATTTAAAAAATAAAAGAAATCGTGGCCACTTAAGCCCCCTTATTAATAAACAAAAAATCTTTAAGAATAAGCTTGGATTATTTAATAATAATAATATAATATAATATTTACTCTATGTTTTGTCTCTGTTCGTTGAATTACAAATGCCAATTGAGTGATATGAACAAAACACGGCGTAACTAGTCTAAGCTTATTCCTAGTTTATAGGGGGTAAGAATAGGTGTATATCATAGTCCTACTAATATTATAAACTAGCGGCCGCCAGCGACTTCGATCGCGTTAACCTAAGTTTTTGGAGCTAACATTTTTTCGGGTTAAAAAGTATCCCATATCTCAATTCAGGTCATAAACTATATGCGTACCAAATTTCGTCCAAATCCATTTAGTAGTTTCTGCGTAATTGAGCAATAAACATACATTTATTCCTTTCGTTCGCTTAGTTCAGGTAGTCGCTTGCAATCTTATGAAACATACAAATATTGTTTAAATTATAAGATAAGCCGTGTAGGGCACAAGCATGCTTCGTATCCCGCGGGAAGTAAAGCGTTCTGGTCCCTGGCAAAGTCGATCGAAGGGAACTTTTGTCGCTCCTCACTGCCTCCACTGCTGAAGCCTGACGGATCGCTAGCCCATACCGCTGACGAGAAAGCGAATTTATTTGCTTCTCTTTTCGCGGAGTATTCGCGCCTCGATGCTGGTAGCGTGTCGCCTATTTCACCTCCTGGCTGTTTGACTCAAATGTCAGAGTTCAAAATTCGCCAATCTGTGGTACGAAAAACGCTGCGCAATCTGGACGTGCATAAAGCTAGTGGTCCTGATGGTATTCCAGCCAATGACCTGAGGTCTTGTGCGCCTGAGTTGACTCCTGTCTTGACGCGCCTCTTTCAGCTCTCCCTTGCAACTGGTAAAGTGCCGAGTTCTTGGAAGCTTGCTAACGTACAGCCTGTACCCAAGAAGGGTAGTCGTGCTGACCCTTCTAACTACCGGCCTATTTCAATTACGTCCATACTCTTGCAGAGTATGGACGTAATTGACGAACCACAGGCTCCTGGCGTACCTAGAATCTAACGACCTCCTAACCGACCGACAATATGGCTTTAGCCGGAATCGGTCCACGGGTGACCTTCTAGCGTGCGCCACGCACATATGGAGTGAAGCCATCGAGAAGTACGGGGAAGCTTTAGCAGTTTCTCTCGATATTTCCAAAGCCTTCGACAGGGTCTGGCACGACGGTCTTATTAGCAAGTTATCCTCATACGGCCTGCCTACTGGGCTTTGTGCATGGATTTCAGACTTTCTGAGGGATAGGTCAATTCGAGTTGTAGTGGATGGTTGCTCCTCGGATCTTTGGGCTTTCAATGCCGGTGTCCCCCAGGGGTCGGTACTCTCTGCAACGCTGTTTCTGCTGCACATTAACGATCTGCTAAGACTCGGTATCTTTGGGTATGCAGACGACAGCACAGTTGTAGAGAGCTATATATACAACGCGCGAGCCAGTGCGACAGAAATCCAGTCCCATAGGGAGACCATGGTCGAGCGCTTGAACCTTTCTCTTTTGGCGGTCTCCGATTGGGGCGATGCAAATTTAGTTGGGTTCAATGCTGCGAAAACCCAGGCGTGTCTTTTCACCGCAAAAAAGAGGCCATTTGATCTGGCCCCTACTTTCCGGGATGTAACCGTACCGATCAGCGACCATCTCGAGCTACTCGGTATTACATTGTCACCAACCCTCAACTTTGGCTCATACATTGAGTCCAAAGCCCAATTAACAGCCAAGAAGTTGGGTATCCTCTCGAAGGTGCGACGATACTTCAAGCCGGAACAGTTGCTTACATTATATCAAGCACAAGTTCGGTCGTGCATGGAGTATTGTTCGCACCTCTGGGATGGATCGGCTAAGTACCAACTTGAGGCGTTGGAGGCAATTGAGAAACGAGCGATAAAGCTCATTGGAAATGACGCGCTTTGCCGGGCAAAGTTACAAAGCCTGGAACACCGACGCAAAGTTGCCAGTCTTTTGGTGTTCTATCGGTTGCATTTCGGTGAGTGCGCAGAGGAATTACATGAGCTAATTCCTCCCGCCCTTTTCTACTACCGGACGAGCAGGGAAACGGCAAGGCGACATCGATTCACGGTGGCAGTTCCAAAGACTCGCACTAAGCGATTCGCTTCTAGCTTCATCGTGCGGACTGCCAAACTGTGGAATTCCTTGCCTGAGCCCTTGTTCCCCGAGCACTACAATCTAGCGGTCTTCAAAGCAAGAGTGAACCGGTTTTTATTAGGTAAGCGCGCTCCATCGTAGACCATAATATTGCTTTCCATCAGGCGAATTATGGTCAAGCGCTTACCTATTACCGAATAAAAAAAAAAGATATAGCATGTAGATTGTTGAAGAAAAATAAAATAGAGTTATTATTATTATTTATAATGTTAGTAGGATGTGGAAGTCTGTATGTTTCTTACACAATCACGCAAAAACTACTGAATGGATTTGGATGAAACTGGATATGCGTAGGTATAGTTTATGACCTGGATTGAGACATAGGATACTTTTATCCCGGAAAAAATGTTAGATTCGTGTTGGACGCCCAAAAACTAAAGTTCACGCGGACGAAGTCATACATGTGAACCCTTCTGCCCAGGTTACTGTTTCATTACAATCATTGTTTGTTATTGTTATATGATTATGATTATCCTATTATAATAAACAATAAGGAATCTGGACGGTGTGTGTGGGAATATGTGTCCGCTATGTTCTTCATCACAAAGACGGAGCATATTTCTAAAATTTGGATTCACAACAACCAGTGAGTCGTACATTACTTTCTCCGTTAATTAATACTGGGTAAAACTAATGATTCTGCTAATTAAAATAAATTTAAATGACATTCTATATAGGTCACTCACTTAGTGACCTATATTTGAATATCGACCTTCTGGTCATCAATATCTGCCTTAAAATTACTAAACATTTTTATGACATAAGTTATATTAATTTGTTATAAGTCAATGATCTTCCTTAAAGGTCACTCACCTTGTGACCCATATAGATGATCATTAAAATCGCCTAAAAATAAAATTAATTTTATGACGTAAGTTATAGTACTTTAATATTACAAGTCAATGACCTTCTATATAGGTCACTAGCACAGAATATATACACTACGCGAAAAGAAGCGACACTTAAGCATGTGTGCTCGTAAAATCGCCCGCGGCTATGTGTGGGTGTCTGGAGGTGCGCGGGGGCGTTGCGCGGCGCGCGGGGCGTGGAGACGGCAGTCGCCGACTGCCTCGACCGAAGGGATGGCAGTAGCGAAATAGTAAAATAATAGCGTTGCACTGCATTGCACGCACAGACTGACTACGCTACGCAATCTTATTATTATTTAGATAATAATAAGAATTATAAAACGAATCGAAAAAGGAGAAAACATATAAAAGTTAGCAATTTGTTATAGTACCTACATTAAAAGATTAAAAATTGATTATAAAATCAAACCTATCCTTCATTATTTACCCCAGTATCCTTGAATCAGTTTACATTTAATAACTTACTATGCATAAATATTCATTGGCACAAGTCTAAATTCCAAGTTCAACCCTAGCGCATACACGCTCCTGCTCAAGGTCACTGACGCTGGAACTCTCACGTACACAGAGTTAGACATGGGCGTTTTTGGTTTTGAACGCAAACGGATATTTATCGGATTTCAGATTTCAAAATCGATTTTAAAATCCGTTTTTAGATATCCGATTTCAGATGTGCCAAACTTAGCCAATTCACTAGTTTGTGTTATGATTTGGTTTTATTAGCTAACGACAATCACAAACAATTAATTGTAGGAAGCAAGAATACTCGTAGATTTTCGCTTAGGACTAGCAGAAAAGTTATGTTTACGGTTAAGAGTAAAACTTTTGCGGCGCATTTAAAAATCGACTTATATACAATGATTTCTTTTTACATATTTTTTTAGTATTTTTTTTTGTTTTTCTGTTTGTTTTTATTATTTTTCAAACCATTTACAAAATCAAACCTAATTACTTCAGGTTAGCGTCCAAAAATGTAAGTTGCTCGACTTTTGATGTTTTTAGACGACATATCTTTTTAGTGATAAATAATCCCGCCTCAGAGAAGAGCAATAGATTTCCGTAAACAGCAAATCGAAATCGGACTTCCGAGCACGAAATCTGACTTCCGAAAACGAAAGCACGAATTTCGAATCCGATTTACATTTGGATACTTATGGTATTAGATCGCTAGCGTTTTGGTTCGGTTAGATTTCTGAAATCGGATTTTCTTGTTGAGAAATCGTTCGGTATCGATTTGTGTTTGAAATCGGATTTTGGATTCGTTTTGATATATCGGACGCATGCCTACACAGAGTGTCACCGCTGTGTCGTCACTAGTGAGTATGTAAGTCAGGTCTTCTACGTAGGTCAGTGTTATAGATACATACCGAATCATCGTCAGGAATGCCGAGAGAAGTCAGCAATTCATCGTGGGCATTATCAGTAGCGCCAAGAGCCAATAAGGCTAACTGATAAGGGTCCTATGGGGACTTTAAATAATGTGGACTGTAATTATAGTAAACTGGTATATTTATACAAGACAGTTAGACAACATATTATGAACGCGGTTGGGCCCGTGCGATGCTGTGCGAGGTGCGTGAGCAAGTCTCTGCCGCCGCGGCCGCTCGTCCCCGTGGTCGTGGTTCCTCCTCCCGCACGTCTCCTCCCGTGCGTAAGACTGGTCGGCGACATGCTCCCCGGGTTGAAGGCTGCTGATGAAGGCTTCAAGGTTCTGGAAGGGGACAGATGTTATTAAATGCCCTCCGAATGGTGCCTCGTTTGGTCTTCAACTCGGCGACTCTGACGATACCATCACTCCCAGGGTAGACATTTATGACTCTTCCCAAAGACCACAGAAGAGGTGGAAGAGTACTGTCCTTGATAATAACAAGAGAGCCACGTTTCAGCTCCTTATGACCAGTGCGCCATTTCAGTTTCTGCTGCAACTGGTTGACATATTCTAATGCGAAGCGGCGCCAGAAATGCTGCTTAATATGTTCGATCTTTGAATCGATCGAGGCGAGTGATGTTGTCGTCGATGACTTGTGGATGTGGTATGGATACCAGTGGCCGTCCAATTAAAAAATGAGCAGGAGTAAGCGGGGCTAGGTCTGAAGGATCAGAGGATAGTTGGGTTAAGGGACGTGAATTTAGAATGGCCTCAACTTGAGTGAGGCAAGTTAACATTTCCTCGTAAGTAAGATGCGTAGTATCTAAGAGCCGCTTTAGGTGAAATTTTGTAGAACGAACAGCTGACTCGGCTAAGCCGTTAAAGTGGGGAGTGTACGCTGGAACAAATTTGAATTCAATGCCCTCCTGAGCAACTAAACCCTCAAGATCAGAGTGTACTAAAAATTTTGAAAGTTCGTTATAAGTCCCTATAAAATTGGTTCCATTATCGGATGTGATACTTTGAGGCTTGCCACGCCGCGACACAAAACGATTTAAAGCGGCTAAGTACGCTTCACTAGATAGAGCCGTAACGAGCTCGAGATGTATGGCTTTGGTCGAGTTGCAAACAAAAATTGCTAAAAATGACTTTATTAGTTTGCAACCTCTCCCTTTCCTATCGGCTATCAGCACTGGTCCAGCGTAGTCGACACTACAATGTAAGAAGGGAAATTCTAATTCGGTGCGAGATGATGGTAATTGTCCCATCATAGGCTGGATTGTTTTTGCCTTGTACCTACAACACCGAACACATTTATTTACACATTTTTTAGATAAGTTGCGGCCACCCAAAGGCCAATAATTTTGTCTAATATTTGCAAGTAAAAGTTGGGGGCCTGCATGAAAGTACTTTTTGTGGAAATATTCGAAAAGAATAACAGTAAAATGGTGTTTACTGCAAAGTAAAATGGGATGTTTTACATCATAACTGTAAGGGGAATTATTGAGCCTACCACCAACTCGAATGATACCGTTGTGGTCTAGGAATGGAGACAAAGAAAGAAGGCGGTTTTTGCTAGGTAAGGACTTATGCGTTTTAAGAATGGCATACTCATCTGGGAACATTTCTATTTGTGATTTAAGAATGATTAAATTTAATGACTTTTGAAGCTCCTCTACCGAAATATGATCTATTAATTTATTATTTTTATTTTTACAATTATTTATAAATCTCAACAAGTATGCCATTGAACGTTGTAATGATTGAAAATTAGATTTTTTATGAATGAAGCAACTAACTACGTCATCAACGCTGCTACTTGAATCTACAAAGCCACTAACTACATAAGCATTAGGTTGATTATTGCGCGCTACTGAAGAAATCAACTCAGGTAGATCCTGTTTCTCGTTAGGCATTTTAGGCCAATGTGTTTGATCGCGTAATAAGAAGGTGGGGCCTAACCACCACAGGTACAACTGCTGATAAGGTCAGCCTTCAGCCCGCGAGAAACAAGATCCGCTGGATTGTCCGCCGACGGTACGTAACTCCACGTGTGACCCTCGGTGCTCTCCTGTATCTCATGAACACGGTTTCTGACGAAACTTTTGAGTTCACTAGGCGGAGTCTTTAACCATCCAAGAACTATGGTAGAGTCACACCAAAATCTACATTTTCCTATGGGTATGGTTAGAGAAGCTAATACCTTTGTACACAGTCTTGCTGCTAATAAAGCCGCTGACAGTTCCAGTCGCGGAGTTGTAAGAGGCTTAATAGGAGTGACTCTATTTTTTGACGTGAGTAGATGGACTTTTATTGCTCCAAGTTCGTCAATTGAGCGAACGTATATACATGCCCCATATGCTCGTTCTGAAGCGTCTGAGAAGACGTGAACTTCGTATGAGGTAGAGGCGTTCATAAGAACCCAACGAGGAATCTTTAGTTTATTTAAAAAGGGCAGTGTATTTGCAAAGGTTAACCACAAATGTTTTATTTCTTGAGAAACTTCTTGGTCCCATGTGATTTGTTCAATCCACAATCTTTGCATAATTATTTTAGCTTCGATGATGCATGGACCTACTAGACCCAATGGGTCAAATATTTGACTAATAACAGAAAGTATGTGTCGTTTAGTTATTTTATCATTTGTTTTAATATTTATGGAAAACGTTAATAAATCAGAATCGCATATCCAATTAAGACCAAGAGTTTTATTAGGAGAATATAAATCAATATCTGATAAATTCAACACATTATTTGAATTAGAGGAAGATGGGGAAATTTGGTCAATTATTGATTGATTATTAGATTTAAATTTTCTGAGATGAAATTTTGCACTTTCTAACGTAGCTATGACTCCTTTGCAAATTCTTACCGTGCTTTCTATTGAGGACGAGCCTCCTAAATAATCATCGACGTAGAAGTCTCTTTGAATGGCTTCTTTGACGTCGTCATCATTTGCACTTGATGCGAGACTTACCAAGCACTTGGTTGCTAAATAAGGGGCACATGCTGTCCCGTAACTAACCGTGTTAAGAGTGTAGGTTTTTAATGGTTGTTTAGCATCGGTGCGAAAAATTATTTGTTGAAGGGGACGCTGGGCAGGGTTGAGCTCAATCGCCCTGTACATTTTCTCAATGTCGCCTGTTACGACATACTTATGCTGACGAAAACGTATTAATATAGAAAAAAGCTCTTCTTGTACAGTTGGGCCAACCATCAATATGTTATTAAGAGATAAGCCAGAAGTGGTGGTGGCCGAAGCATCAAAGACTGTACGTAGTTTTGTGGTCGTGCTTGACTCACGTAAGACGCCATGATGTGGCAAAAAATAATTAGGCTGTTGAAGACAGCTAGCTGAAGTCTCCTTATTTTCGGTCATGTGCCCCAAGTGCTCATATTCGAGCATGAAATCGGTATACATATCCTTAAAAACGGGATATTTATTAAATTTACGCTCTAAGGATAAGAAGCGACATTTGGCCTGTTGAAATGAATCGCCTAAGACTGAAGGATTTTCTTTCAGTGGCATAGTGACAACAAAACGACCATCGTCTTTACGAATAGTATTTAAGTGAAAGCTTTGCTCACAGGCACGCTCTTCGGGGGATAAGGAGTGCTTTGCTGCTACAGTATCTAATTCCCAGAAACGAGTTAAGTCTGGGTTGGGTTCCTCGTTTAAAAAATGACAAACGGAAGAATAAGAAGAGTGCTTAAGGCGACCAACACGGCCAGACACTAACCAACCCAGTTTCGTTTCATATAACTTGGGTTGATTTTTACCCAAGTTAATATGATTATGGCCTAAAATTGACCAAAAAACTTCTGCCCCTACTAATAAGTCTATACCTGAAGGTATATAAAAGTTGGGATCAGCAAGATGTATTCCTTTAGGAAGAGGAATATTTTCTATGTTGATAAAGGTAGACGGTAGACATTTTGTAATCTCAGGCAGTATAAGACAATCTACAGTTAGTTTAAAGTCGTCATGAATAGACATTATGGTAAGACTGCAAGACTGTGTACATTGAGAAGTATGTTGATTGATACCTGTCACCGTGGAGTACGCATCGCGACGCGACACACCCAGCTTACCGCACAAGGATTGCGTCACTATGTTCGCGGTGCTCCCGTTGTCGAGCAGAAGGCGCGCGGAGTGCGCGGCACCCTGGCCGTCGAGCACCCTCACGACCGCTGTGGACAGTAACACATTCGAAGGAGTAGTAAACTGTCTCGAAATATTGGAATGATTTGAGAAGTGGTTGATGCTATTGACTGGCATTGGAGGCACAGAAGTAGGTTCTGGTTCATGAATATGTAAAAGTGTATTATGTCTCTCTTTACAGTACCTACAAGGGACAAGACTACATTTATTTTCAATATGTCCAGGTCGAAGACAATTAAGGCATACTTTTGTTTCTTTGGCTTTTTGAATTCTATCTTCAATAGAAAGTGACCTGAATTTTTCGCAATTAAATAAATAATGACTTTCTTGGCAAAGTATACATTTGAAAGACTTGGAATTGTAAGTATTTTGTTTAGATCGTAAATTTTTATTATTGTAAATATTTTGTTTATAATTATTATTGTAAGTACTTTTTTTATTATTATTTGGTGTGTCTATAAGAAAATTTGAATTTTGTTTGTAAATATCTCTTTGTGTTTTGCCTTTTTCTTGTATAGTCTCCAATAAGTCTGCTCTGTTACTTAGAAATTTAATAAATATATTTAATGAAGGTGGATCTGTTAGTGTATTTCGGTGTTCTTCCCAGACTCTTTGTGTAACACAATCTAATTTTTCCGACATCATATGTATAACTAATGTGTCCCAATATTCAGTAGGTTGATCTAATGAAGCTAATGCACGTAAGTTTTTATTGGTAACATCTATAAGATTACGTATCAATATAAACGATTCCTTTTGCATCCGTTCAACATTAAATAAAGCTTGAACGTGATTGTTAACAAGTAGCCTCTTATTGTCGTATCTGCTGCATAACAATTTCCATGCAGCTTCGTAATTATCGGCTTTAAAGTCTAAATTATCAATGACTAGCAGAGCGCTGCCTTTAAGAGACGCGTGAAGATAATGCAACTTATTTATGTTATCCATATCCTGTCTTGAATGGATTAATGAATCAAAAGTATCTCTAAACCTAAGCCAATGCTGATAGTGACCATGGAAAACGGGCAAGTCAATTTTTGGCAACCGAACACAACTGAATTTAGGTGCACTCGCCTGTACATCCTGATAACTCGAGACGGAACTACCCGGAAGGTCGCGCTGGTTGTGACGTGGGCCGAGTAGACCGCGAGCCGCCGCAACCAGCGTGTGGAATTGCTCTTCGAATTGTTCACGTTCTTGGAGTTCATCGGCGGGATTCTCCGAAAGCATCTCAATCTCCATCTGTAAATCGTCAAAAAGAGGGTAGATTGCTTCAAACTTGTTAAAGCGACTTTCCAGATCTAAATATTGATCTCGGCTTAGGTCAGATGATCGTTTAAGCAAAGCAATGTAATTTTTAAAAATGGTTAATTTTGATTTTAGGCTGCTACGCTTTTTTATAAGTTTTTCTCGTTCCTTTGTATCGGCCATACTAACTGATGTTTAATATAAGAAAATCTGAAGATAAAATGTGCAAAAACAAATACTACTGTTAACAACTCCAAAAAAATTGCAAGAATCGAAACAAAAGAATGCGCCGGGCGCCGAGCGATAAGAAACAAAAGAACAGGTGTGCGGCTGCCGGCCGATGCGCTGGCGCTGCGCGTCTATAGTTTTTATAATTATGTTTATAAGCTACGTTAATAGTGTTTATTGAATGGAATATTTATATTTTGTGAATGTAAGAAACGAAAGAAGAAATAATATGATGCACTCAGTAAATTGGACTATTTTGAATTTAATAGCAATAAGAAAGGAATATTATGGAATGTAAATAAGGAATAATTGGAACGGACTCACAAATACCCAAACCGTCTCCTTTTCTTCGGGAAACGTAGTCCTTTCGCCTCAAAACTTCGACGGGTTCAAAGTCCAACCTGCGTACCGTCTTCTAAATTGCAAAATTTTCTGAAGCTTGCGTGGTTGCGTTGCGTCGATTCTTCGTAAGGATAAGACCGTAGATAGGCTCCTAAAGAAATCTCGCTGCTGAAGACCGCACTGAAGAGCTTCTTGAAAATTTTCGTACGACGACCGTCTAATTTTCTGTCTTGCAACCGAGAAGGACCAATGATAAGGGTCCTATGGGGACTTTAAATAATGTGGACTGTAATTATAGTAAACTGGTATATTTATACAAGACAGTTAGACAACATATTATGAACGCGGTTGGGCCCGTGCGATGCTGTGCGAGGTGCGTGAGCAAGTCTCTGCCGCCGCGGCCGCTCGTCCCCGTGGTCGTGGTTCCTCCTCCCGCACGTCTCCTCCCGTGCGTAAGACTGGTCGGCGACACTAACACAAACTCAGCCGACAATGGTGAGCACACTACGCTCTTACTTTTGTCCAGTTCCTAAAAACAGTATTTATTTAAATTAAAGTTACATGTTTAAATACCTATATTTATTGCAAAGACAGTATGTATGTTCCCATATAATATCTAAAAAACATTGTTACTAAAAATATCATTTGAAATAAAGGGTACTTAGTAGGTAAAAGAGGGTATTCTTAAATCAGACAAGGTGATTTTGTTAGTATTCTTTTCTTTATATTAATTATTTATTAAAATTAGTGTTAAAGAAAAAATATTTTTTATCATGTTCGTTCTCAATACTTACGTTGACGAACTTTGCGGCGAATTTTGCAATGTCTGCAGATAATGCTATAGCATCCATGTTTGCCCTGTATTTATTTGAATCACTAGTACAACTCATCACTTATAAAAACGGTACTGAAACAAATAATGCGTTTTCATAGTAAATAAACCTTACTGTTTTCCCACGCTCAACAGGCGCTAGTTGTTTACAAACAAACTAATGCGAAATTATGACATCATTCATTACCAAAATGATATCAGGACAACGACCCGCAATCGCTCTTGCTGCGATCTGTTTAAAGACTGGCTCACCCACCAAAACAAGCCTGCATCAAAACATGTGCGTGTGTTTATATAGGTAGTAGTCTCAAGGCTACATAGAACCAAATAAACATAACAGCGCAGCAAAAGTTTGTTTTCAAAATAGCTAATAATTTGAGTCTTGACATAATAATAGCTTTTCGTAGATTTCATTCCTTTGAAGGGTGTGACTTCTACTTATTATTTGCATACAAAAGGAAAAAAATCATGCTTCAAAACATAGCTATCACACCCTGAAATTAACCCGGTTTGAAAGAAATATCGCACCCATTACCAAGTCTTCCTAAAGGATTATAATAGCTACGTTGAAAATGTTTATTTGTCCTACTATTAGTCCTATGATCGAACTGCTTAGAAAAAAAACCCACCCTGTCACTGATTTCGATGATCGAACAGTTAAGACATAAATATATAGATTACGATATTCTTATGTACCTATGACTTCCCTCTCCAACACATAGTTACATAATCATAGTTTCTTCGGTTAGCTAAAGTTAATGTACAGTTATAGTTATATTCTGGTAATTTTGAATTTGTTTACTTTAGGAATTTTGTGAAAAATTACATTGATCTACAAATTCATCCACAATCCCAGAGTGGTTACCTACATACAAGCGATTTCGAGCAAGTAACGATACACATTATGTTGAACTTGACATTGACCTTAAGCTTATTTAAATGCCTCCGTCGCGTCGCATAGAAAATAGGGTCTAATGAAACAAATGATTAATGCTATACGTCAAGATTCTGAAGACATTTCTCGTAAATTTATTAAGGCTAAAAATCATAAGAAATGCCAATAAATCTATTGTGATAACTTAATCGTTATAGTTTTTCTATTCATCTACATGTTTTGATTGTCTTTTGTAACTAAAAGAATTGTAAATGAATAAAAATATATTTATTTTTATATTTATCTTAAAGAATCATGCCAGTCCATTTCTATATTTTTGAATTTTCATTTTGTTAGCTTACAATACCAAACTTTTTTAGATAATAATTATAATTTCTGATATTAATTAGGTATAAGAAATCAAAATCATGTACATTTCTATGTACTAAAATGACTTTTGTCCGTCACCAAATTCGTGTTTACTGATGTTATTTTTAGTTTTCCGTGGAGGATACATTCAACTCAAGTTCTTAGAATTCTACGACCGACGCAGGGGATTTTTTCAAACTGGCCGAAGGCGGTTCAATGTCACCTTGAGACTACCATATAAATAGGTACAAGTGATGTTTTGATGCAGTTTTTTTTCTATCGGTGAGCCAGTCTTTAAACAGATCGCATTAAGAGCGCGCGGGTCGTTGTCCTGTTATCATTTTGGTAATGAATGATGTCATCGTTTCGCTACTACCAGGCGTTGACCGTGAGAAAACAGTCCGATTTTATTTAATATGAGAACGCATTATTTGTTTTAGTACTATTTCTCTTAGGGAATCTAATATGGCAGACATGGATGATAAAGCATTATCTTTAGTAATTGCAAGATTCTCCGCAAAGTTTTTAAACGTAAGTCTTGCTTAATTAATATTTATTCGTAATTTCACTTTTAAATAATTAATTAATAAAAACAACATTTAAAATGAAATTGTATGGTAAAAGTTCTTTCTTTTCATTAATCATTTTCAGATTCAATATGGACATATTTTTATAATAACTGGGCAGGTTGCCTATCTTCTATCTATACTTATAATAAATCTGTAGAGAGGTCAATTCTGTACATGAAATATATTTTCAAAATAACTATCAGGGGGTGATTAGTGATCGATACTGATGCCAAAAATGCAATCAGTAAAATTTTTGTCTGTCTGTCTGTCTGTCTGTGTGTATGTTCCTTATAGAAACAAAAACTACTCGACGGAATTTAACGAAACTTGGTACAATTATTCTTCATACTCCTGGGCAGGTTATAGTATACTTTTCATCACGCTACAATCAATAGGAGCAGAGTAGTGAAGGGAAATGCTGGGAAAACGGGGGAAGTTACTCCTTTTTTTAAGCTTCCGTCGCGTGTGCAGCCTTAATGGTTAAAGTTACATAGAAATCATGTATGACGGAAATAATTAACATAAAATTGTCTAAAAAATATCCTGCAACAGCATATGTCTATCTTTTATGGTTGACTCACAATAACACGTGTAACTCCTGATAGCTTAGCAGTTCGAAGCATTCTGATTATATTTGTTTACTCTTACGTTTATAATACTCTCACTCATCCCTAATTTAAAAAAGTTAACATTATTACCTATTCAATAAAAAAAGAATCATAGAAATCGGTATATAAACACCAAACTTATACATGAAATAAGCCATCGCGCCGTCGTACGTGAATACCGAATCATGCTTTAAGGATTATTTTTGTGTAACGGTTGGAAACACTGATAATTTTAGAGGTTTTTAATGTAAGGTCGTAAATAAACACAGTTTTTCCGCTTACATTGCAAACGCTGGCTGAACCCTACGAGATCGATCAAAATATTGTACTACAGTATTGTATACCTTAAAAATGTCTACAAAAAAGTCCGCCATGGTATCTGTCTATCTCTTAGGGATAACCCACAATAACCATTTTATATCCTATACTTTTTACGAGAAATAATAGATTATTTACGAAGCGATTTTCAGCAATATAACATTCTTCCTTATCCAATTCAGTACCTTAAATACATTGTGCATTTAATATAGACCAATTTGGCTATTTAACGCATGTAATTTAAATGAATATTTTCGAAGATATTACAGATTTAAAATGCAGGGACACAGCGGTTCCGACGCTACCGGGCGGGGCACCTGGTGGCGCGTGCCTATTGTAATTAGGTATTAGAAGAATGTCATTGTATAATACAAGCCTGAGAACAAAAACTATAGTCTACACTACAGCTCTACACCGAAGCGAAGCGCGGGCGGGCCACTAGTATTTAAATAAATACTTTTTTTAGGAACTTGACAAAAGTAAGAGCGTAGTGGCCTCACCATTGTCGGCCGAGTTTGTGTTAGCTTTATTGGCTCTAGGCGCTACTGATAAAGCACACGATGAATTGTTGACTTCTCTCGGCATTCCTGACGATGATATGGTATGTAAAAACACTGACCTATATAGGTTAATGACCTATTTAACACTGACCTTTATACAAGGTCATTGACCTAGGTTAATGACCTCTATATAGATCATTGACCTAGGTTAATGACCTCTATATAGGTCATTATTGAGGAGCTCGATGGCGCGGGTGGCTAGCGCGTTCGGCTGCGATCGTTGAAGTTAAGCAACTTTCGCAGTGGTCGGTCATTGGATGGGTGACCAAAAATTTACTATCTCGAGCTCCTCCGTGCTTCGGAAGGCACGTTAAGCCGTTGGTCCCGGCTGCATTTGCAGTCGTTAGCACCCACCAATCCGCACTGGGTCCGCGTGGTGGGTCATGGCCCAATCTCCCTATTCCATCCATAGGGAAGGCCTGTGCCCCAGCAGTGGGGACATTAATAGGCTGATGATGATGATATAGGTCATTGTTACGTGTAAAAACAATATTGATAATTTAAGGCAAAGTAAGGTAACCTTGTAATAAACATGTACATATCTATAAAATGTTAAATATTTATTTTATTCAGTATAAACAACTTACTTTTACCCAATAGTTGTGAATAGAAGAATGTAATTTATGACTCACTATTTGTTTTGATGCTTTGTCTTTAATGATTATGAATATTTTAAAAATTTATTCTAATGTCATTAATTTAGAAACACGCATGTCTTTTTGACTGCCTTCGTGGTGTGAGTGTTATTTATGTACGCCGGTTTTCGAGGTGTTGTTGCCTTCTCAGCGGTCTTGGGTTCGAATCCCGGTGGGGCAAATGTTTGTATGATAAATACGAGCATTAGTCCCTAAGTCAGGGCTGTTGATATATATGTATTTCTAGAAAAAAAATACTAATATATAATGTATCATTATATATATTTCTTTCCGTTGCCCTAGTAAAACATAGAACAATCCTTCCTTGGGGCTATGCTAATTGGTATATTTAAAAATATTTATTTTTTTAATATTATTTTTTGTGATGAACAACAACAACAACGAAGGTAGCCACGACATTCATAAGTACCTAATGTTAATATTGATGGCCTTACCTATATGATAATGTCTTTAACAGATACGCTCGTCATTTTCGCAAGTTTTATCCAAGTTTAAAACAATCAAAGGTGTGACATTGGATGTGGCCAATACGGTGTATGTGATGGAAGGCGGTTATGACCTACAGCCACAATTGAAGGAAGATGCAGTGAATGTTTTCGATGCAGCATTTGAAAAGGTTGACTTCTGTAACTCAGCCCATGCTGCAAACCTCATTAACACTGGGGTGAGCGTAACTTTGTTTGACTGCAATTTTACAAATTATATCTACTTAGGGGCCATCCATAAATTACGTCACACGTTAAGGAGGAGGGAGGGGGTCGACGAAGTGTGACATCGTGTGACAAAGCGGTGGGAGGGGTCCTAAATTTCGTGACGTCACATTTCAAAATCTATTATGATCTAAGGATGTATTCCGAAATATAAACTAGTACGCTGGCCAGTCAATATGGCATCGAAATCATGACGTCATTACCACTGGCCAGCGTACTGGTGTTTGATTCGGAATACACCCTAAGTGTTGAAATACCAACTTTAAACTATTACTTTACGAAAACATTAACCACCCAAACGAGAACGCAGTAGCTGCTATGCCAGTTAAAATTTAAGGGAGTGGGTTCAATGTCCATGGACCCGAGATTATTAAGTTTGTATCTTTAATTTAAATATAATGTTATTAGTTTATTTTGTTTTGTTGATTTCTTTAATTAACATAGTCAATCTTTTTTTGTTTGGTAATTTCTTTAATTAATATAATTAATTGTTTGATTCAATATTATTAAAAAAATATTTTAATTGAAAAAAAAAAACAGATTTCGGAACCGCTGTTTCCATTCAATATCTTCTAAATGTAAATTTGCAAAATATGTGACGTCACACTAGGGACAGGGGGGGAGTCCTTGAAATGTGACCAACTGTGACAAGGACGGACGGGGGAGGGGCAAAAAATCATGAAATTCCTGTATTCTGACTGAAATTCGTATTACGTAATTTATGGATGGCCCCTTAATACACGTGATTCGGTATATTTATGTACTTATCCTTTGCAATGTTGGAACAGCAGTATACTATTTGGTATGAGATAACGGATTTTCCAGTCGAATTGAATTCTCCACCACAAAAAGTCAACTCGGTCAGTCGGCATTAAACGGGATTCGAACTCGCATCTGTCGCTATTATGCTACCGATACCTTAAATGGCCGCGTCCAATTTCTGCTAGTATTTCTTATGCTGCATGGCAGTGCCATCTCTTTGCATTGTAACTCGCAATGTGAAACGAATAGCAATTGTAGTTTTTATTTTAGTTTAGCGGTAGTTGCGGGTTCGAATCTCGTTTGATTTTTTCTAGTCAAATTTACTTTAGATGTATAAAGGAGAATGGTCATTTTACTTTGGGAGTTGGGCTAAGTTTTTTTCATTGCGTCTTATTGGAATAAGTGTACAACAATAGGGAATCAGGTGTATATTGCGTAGGAAAAATATCATTAGAAACTTAAGTAGTGGTTTAAAGAAAATATTAAATTACGTAAGCATTTTAAGGTTATGTCATATTTAGATTCGATTAAATTCGATATTTATACCATACTTAATTATTACTAGGTATACTACTTTAAACTGTATTTAATTAGGTTGTGACCTTTTGTCTTCTATTTTGGACTGGGAGTGAAACAAAAATTGAATGCACTTCGTAAAATCTTATCAACGGGCAGCGTATATTTGTAAACTGTTGCGTTGGTGAGCTGCTATCTATCTCTATTTATTCCAAACATCTCAGATTCAATAAATGTGGCGTTGTTGAGGTGCGGTTATATTAGTGCTATTTATACTTATTCTCTTTACGCTCAAGCTGCACCTTTGATGCTCTGTTAACCCAACAATGGATCTAATATTATTTAAGGTTTAGGAATCAAAAATAAATAAGACAAAATATTTTAATAATGATAATCATTTATTGATAACACATTTATCCAAATCGACATTATTAATGTGATATTTTTATTTTATATTTTAGAGGTTATGCCGTATCCAGTGGAACTGTAGTGACTTCGCCTAAAATATCTTTTGTAACTCGCCACCATGTCCTGTTGAGTTTGAAATATCCAGTTAAAGCTCTGCTAAGTTCAATTAACACAGCAGTTTATACATTAAGCGTGCTCTAATCCTGGTTTATATATTGCCTTTTTTTAAAAAAGAATTGACTTATATACCTTCTTCAAATACCTCATCTAAAAATGTAGCTGGAGCATGTGTATCGTTAAATCGCCCCCAGCTAAGGTACCAAACTACCGTCATTACGTGTGCGCAACATCCTACTGTCCTTTTGCCTACAATACAACTGCAGCAATAGCCAACTAAACAACTTAGTGAGTTGGCTATATTGGTGTCACGGCTGACTAAAATGTAAACAAAATAGGTGCGTCCACCAACGTGTCTAGACTTAATACGTCCTCTAAGCAGATAATTGTTTAAACCTAATACAAGGGGAACATCTTCATCTATTTCAGTATTTATTTCTATGGAATATATCCCAGACGATCGAATATGTTCCCCATAATATGATCGCGCCTGCTTTAACTGATAAGTGCCTAATGCAAAGCGTTTTAAATCAGTGATGCTTAACAGTTTCCAAGTGAGGATGATTGCCATCAATTGCAGAAAACATTGCACGTCTTCTGTTAAGATTTTGAGTTTCTACAAACTCGGCCAAATGATTGGACTCATTAAGCCGATTTTGAGCAATAGCTACATACTCGCTTGCTTCTGGAGGATCCTGTATTAAGGGATGAAACTTATTTAACAGAGCACATGCAATTCTTAAATCATCTTTTAAATGAGTTGCAGCTCTGTTATTAAATACATGCCTGAACAATCTAAAATCTCGTTTTATACGTCCATTTACTATTTCAACCACCCAGCGACACATTGTTACAAATCTAGATTTGTTAGCCTGAAGGGTAGTGAGTTGATCTTCACCATCTAATAATGATTCAGGCATGTAAGCTTTAAAACCAAGATCCTCCATAAATTCAATTACGTCCCGAAACCCCCTATCCAGAATAAAAACATCATCCTGCCGGAAAAATGAACGCAGTTTTCCTTCTTCATTATTTAAATCATGCCTTGTTATTGAAGCATCATTAGTGGTTGCTTTATAGGGACCCATACAATCTATAATATATCTATCACAACACACAACCATAAAAGGTTTAACTAAATTATCAGATTTTTGTAAACTATATGATTCTTTTTGAAAACGATAATTGCTGCTGCTCTGGACAAATATATAAGTTGCGTCACACATAACAATAGCGGGTTTAATATCATTTGGTAAGATTGGATTACCAAACAATCCCTCCGGGATTATTTTATTTCTGCTGGCCACTTGCTCCACATTTACATGACCAAAGCCCAAATGTCTTGACACAAAATCTTCAATTGAACAACTTCTAGCTATATTCATTTTTCTCTCCAAGGTCCTACGAGACATTTGAAAGAGGGAACTTAATCGTTCATTGCTGTCCCCAGTTCTTAACTTGACTATGTAAATACAGAGTGCTAAACGGGGATTTTTGACACTCTGTAATAAGCTTGGTACACATGCCAAGAGTTCATCAAACTGTTCAGCATTCATTCCCAGCCAATAATGGCATAAGAAAGGAGCCATTGCAGAAATATTTTCAAAGTCGAAACAATGGGAAACTGCTCTCTGCATTATATTCAAAATGGCATCAAACTGTACACCAGTAAAATCTTGCAGATTTGATGTTAAATCACTCCAACGCCCATTATTCAAGTGATGTTGACATTTTCTACTACATGTGGGAACATAGAATTTATTATGTATTAATAACATTTCTCTTATTACTCTGGGTACTAATAAACATTGTTGTTCCCGGTATCCTGAAAACAGACAACTCAATGAAGTGACTACAGCACGCTTATATACTGATGACTGTATCTTAGGTATAACAGGTCTTGAAGGCTGAACAGGTAATAGACCAGCGGGAAATGGTGGTGGTACTGGGATCACTGGTACAGACTCTGTTGGTTCTACATCAATTTGTTCAATTGATGACCGATTCGCATCATGTAACTGTTGCCTTTGCACTTCCCTATTAGCTGCTCGCCAACAGGCAGCACAAACTCTTGAAATTCTTGACACCTATAAAAAAAAGATAAGTGAACTTGAATTTAATGAAAAACCATCTACAACTATTTTATGCAATAGAAATATATTTCTTATAATAATAATAATAAATCATTTATCTGACAAGATATGGTAAATTATACAGATCTCAAAAATATAACAAATACACAAGTAGTTTCAGTATTATCCAGAACTCAATCTTTAAAAACTATATATATTATTTATATACCATAGTCATGATTGAGTTAGTTATTATATAATCAATTTCATTAATATGCTACATGACAATTGTGCAATGTAAAAAAAATGTCAAACTCATGTTTCAGTTAGTATTGAAATCAATTTAAATAAATTATTATTAATATAACATTTCAATCATGCAATGCAAAAATAATAATAATGTCACAGTCATGTTTTAATTAGCATTGAAATCAATTTTAATAATTTATTATTGATAATAATATCTTAAACTATACCTGATGTGCTGGAGTCCATCTAAGAATAATATTTCTTTCTGGACAGTGTAGTGAAACCCTGTACGATCGACTTCTTAATATGGATTTTCCACAACCAAAACAGACTTGTTGATGGCCATATTGTGGTGCAGGTACTTCTTCGGTGGTCAATATCTATAACAAGTCAAAAATATTTATATTTATTTGAACATGTGAATGAAATTAAAACATTATCTCACGGTTGCGATTGTATAACGATATATTTTTAGTAATATAAGTAAATAATTACTTACAGAATCAGGTGCGATCCATGAGCTTAAAACATTAAGCATTGAATTGGATAGCGTGTCCAAAGAATGTACTGGCTGTCGTCGTGGCACTGATATACAACAGTTAATACAACGTCGTTGCATACTGCCTGCGTTTTCTTGTGTAACACCAGATGCCATTGTAAACAAAAATAATTACAATAAACTAAGAGTCCAAATATCTCTGTCAGAATTTACGAGTCCAATGCTCTCTTTCCCAAAAAAAAGTTATTAACGGAGGATTACTCAACTCAACATTAAAACTATTCTGCCACAATAGACCACTGAAAACACAAATTCAATTCAAAATTGAAAACTGTAGTTAGTCACTCGGAACAAACAACAAACACGTTGACAACAAGTTGACAGCTACCTACTTCACTTGCCTATGGTATATATTTCGATTTGATTCTATAGGATCGATTCCTACACAATCGATTAATAAATGTTTTATTTTTCAATGCAAATGCTTAAAATGTTCAAACCATGAGTTAATTTATATATGATTAAGTAATTATATATAACATAACTGATAATTTAAACAAAAATATATTCCCTTTTTTAATCTAAGATGTGAATATGTACTACACATATAAAAGTTTTTGTATGCGATCTACTGTTTGATGAACAAAATAGTCCGCAGACAAAAAATCCTCTTTTGCGCAGCCCATTAAGTTCCTTTTAGTTTTTAGATGCAATGAAAGAGAGCAATCCCTGGTAGGTACAGTGAGATAGTCACAACACAGGTCTTACAAATGATAACTTTATGAATTTAATGTTATTTATCATGATATAATATTGGTAAAAATGCTCGTATCCATCATACAAACATTTACATCACCGGAATTCGAAACCAGGCCCTCTGAATAGGCGATTTGGGGAAAATAATCTATCCATCGATCCATACAAAAATCAAACAATTCGCATCGAAGACCTCAAAATAAAAAATGACTACGAATTAACGAATGATCATTATTTCGTAGTCATTTACGGTGTTTGGTAAAAATGTTTCAGGCTATTTACAATTGTTCTATGCTTTCAATTACAATAAACGTTTTATTTTTTCTTTTTGAAGAGGAACTTCTTTACGCACTCTTGACTTGGGGAGTAAGCTAGCGAACGTAAGCGTTAAGAAAAGTGTGATCGGGCGAGGCGAACGGGAGTTGAGTGGGGGATGTAAGCATGAGAAAGCAGTGCGCGTGCACATTTTCTTTCTCTCTTCCTCTCATAGCCAAATACGTTCCGTATATCTAAGCACAGTGCAAGCCTATTGTCTGTATCACAGTGTAGGAGCAAGAGCGCGCGCACGCATTTTCTTTCTCTTTTTCTGTTACAGCTAGTAAATGAAAGAAGTTTCACTTCAGTTGTGTAGTCATAAGCACACTCGTTTTTTTATGTTAAGAATATTTAAATAAAGAAATATAATCGATTTTTTTTCCTACGATAGTATCGACCAGGTGATACAACTTTTATCTATGGTTATTGGTTATTGACTCAGTTTAATAGCCATTTATTTATTATTTTAAATATCCGCATAATATTTACATAATAAACACACATATGAAATGATAATTTAGAAGAAGATTTTTGATACATAAATGCGTCAAGCGCAATCTAGGCGGATTTGCCCATTCTCCTTTAGCAGTTAAATGCTTAAAATAAAAATATTGACCAGAAAACAAACATATTCTCGGAAAGCGTGACTTACTCTATTACTTTGTTCAAGCGTAAACAATATTATTCATTCTGGGAACTATTATCATTGTTGATGTTACGATGTTATTAATCTTGGTAGGATTATAGCCGAACAGTTGTAATATGTATTACTGCTTTGATTATACACAGAGTAAGTGGTAAATAGTTAACCACTAATGAAGGAGGAAGAGGTGGATTAAGTCGAACCCTCTCGCTTTGAAAGATTAAATAGGTACATACCTTATCGTGTGAGGTATCGTTTTAAAGAGATTTTTATAACGATTTTAAATAATTATGTTCCCATCTCAATTGATTAAAAAGTCAAATTAATATTTGGAGTCGGTGCCATGCCAACCCTATGGGAACTCATATCTATCAATCATGTATGGCATCGACTTTAAATATTATGTTGACTAAAGAAAAAATATAATTAATACCTATTAGAGTGGTTTTGTTTTATGTAATGAAGTATTTTTTTTTTGTTAAAAAGGTTTTTGAAATTCAATTTTTATAATCCAGAGTAACATCAACTTACATAAAATCCTTAAAAATGGAACGATCTTTTACTCCGACACATACCAACCAAGGAGGTAACTTATCAAAAGTGTTATTTAAATTTTAAACTGGCTTGCAAATAGAAAGCTGTTTATTGAAAAAAAAAAACAAATAAAATATACTGCATACAACAAAAAGTTAGTCTGCCTAGGGAAACACCCCGGCAAACTTCTTGAGCAACGACCATAGACAAGCAAGCCTGCGCAGTAGAAATTTTACATAAAAAAACGCTACTGCGCAAGTTTATTTGTCTGTGATTTTACTCAAGGAGTTTTCCGCTATCTATATTAGTTAGTTTTGGTTTACGCGCATTATTTCAGATAAGTACTAGCGTGTACTACAAGCCTTGGCCACAAGTAGGAATTGATGGACTTACACGTTCTTCCATCAATACCTCTTTTGCTGGCCGTTGCAGTCAAGTAGGTACTATTACATACATCATAGACTACGAAGTTTGTATATGTTTTCATGGTTTATTACTTAACATTTTTGCTGACGAGAATACGAAACATTGTATTAATAATAATTATATACCTTTACTTAGGAAACAAAGAATAAAATAACACTTAAAACTAGATTTTACATCTAAAATTTTCCACTATAAAGTCGGACCCCGATAACTTTGCAGTCAATAATTTGGTCACACCAGAAAAACTTGAACTGGCAGCACTTTTAAGACGTCATTCAAAAAGTCTTTTTGGGGGGTCAAACTAGTTTAAATTATAAAATGTTCCTTGTGGTAAAACTGTCTAGCTAGTTGGTAAACAGGAATAAAATCCGTGAATTCAAACTTATCGAAACGCCAGTATCATTAATCGAACTCTAGCAAGATATTAGGAGTAGGTATTACAGCTTAATTGCCTTAATTTAAATATTTTTATTTATAAGGTAGGTATTACTGATCGATAAGTCGATTCTAGGTTTGCAAATTGATTAAAAGTTTATCGTAGCTCAACCACAATTTGGTCAGATAAAAACTATTAAATGTTACACGAGATCGACGAATCCGTCGTAAAACTTTGTAAGTATAAGTAGTAATTAAGCAAGTACTTTTTAGTCTTTATTTTCCTTTCAGGTTGAAGAGAAGACTAACAAGCGTATTAAAGATGTCATTTCAGCTCACGCTTTGGATTGTCACACTAGAATGGTTCTTATTAATGCTATATACTTCAAGGTAGGATATTAAATAAATGACAAGGTAGGTACTTAATGAAATAATATTTTTCGCGTAGAATTTTTAAATTCACATAATTTAATTTAATTAAAATTTTAGGGCTCTTGGAGGAAGAAGTTCCATAAACGTAAAACTTTTGATGAGGCCTTCTACGTCACTCCTACCACAACTGTTAATGTGCCTATGATGCACAGAATAAAATATTTCGGATACGGCATTAATAAGGAGTTGAAAGCCCAGGTAAATTGAATAATCTAGCATACGAAAATATACGATTACCCGACCGAATGTACCCTGTCGGTACTTTGGAGTTTAGTAAATATATTTATACTAGCTGACCCAGTGAACTTCGCACTGCCTTTATAGCAGACAATTAAAGTATTTATCTTTTAATTTTATTCATAATTAAATTCGGGATTTTACAACCGAAATATAACAATTACAAAAAAAACAAACTATCAATTGTTTACTTATTAGGTTAATAGGTTAAAGTAAACGAAATTCTATATGTCAAATAAATTTTAATAATATAATGAACATATATTTTTTCTTTCGTCAATCCACCAAAAAATGCCAAAGATAAAGCGCGTCAAAGTTTGGGAATGGGGGCTGACGTCACTTTTAAGTAAAAATTGTACCAAGACGTGACGCCATGTGACATTTCAAATCAATATATCTTTGTAATGTTTTGATTATGTGATTAAAGAAAAATAAGTTTCCTATAGACACTTTTTGATAATCTACCCGACTTTTTTTCTGACGAAGAAAAAAAGTAAGCCATCATCTCTATTTATGAGATATAAAGAAAATTAAAATTCAATAACGTGTACTACAATGGCGTAACAGAAAAATTAAAAAAAATATAATTCTATTCTATTCTATTCATGGTCATCCCTCAATCTTTCAGTATCTTAAAACTTAAGAAGGTTCAACATGACACAATATTATGATTATTATTTATTTAAGCATGTGTCTGCTCGGATGTTTAAATCTACAGAGAATATTACAAGAAAAAAATCCACGCGGACCCGTCTGATGCCTGGTCCGCGTGGTTTTTTTTTCAAGAAATATTTTCTTATGACATAACATGTTGAAACCAAAACTAGGGTATTGGTTTTCCATTAATCTCACAGGTACTAAACTTATTATCCCAACTTTATCTCACATTCGCGACTTTCTCCTTTCCCTTCCCTCTTCTTTCCATCTCAGTTAATTTCTAACGGGACACGAAACCATTACGATAAATCTTACTTGTACCGCTTCCACATTTCCTACCAACACTTACAACTCCTAATCACCACAGGATCCATACCAAAGGTTCATTCTTTTAATGTCCCATCCCTAACTTTTGTGTTTGTTTACGCTCTAACAGTTACATAAAAAATATTAGAAAAACTGTAAAAAAAATCTCAATAATCACGGTTTATCATTAATGTTATTTACGTAATCGCCATTTTGTTATCATGAAAAGGACAACAATACAATACCCTTAGTGCGAGTTTGAGCTCACGAAAACTATCATAGTTTTCGTAATTATGTTTCTATGTCCATTTTTGTGAAAAGTAACCAAATATACTTAAAATTTAAGAAGACACAAATGATTTAATGATAGAATTTAAACACTGTTTGTTTGTATTGAACCGAAAACAATAAAATCGTACCCTTAGTACGAGTACGAGCTCACGAAAACTATCATAGTTTTCGTAATTGTAAAACTCCTACCAAAGGTATAGCTCAGCCGTACGGACTCGGAAGCGGAGTCGCCGTTTCGCTCGTGCTGCGTTGAAACGTACAGTACGAAGCACGAACCAATATCGAATTCGTATCGTTTGCGAGGCCGAAATGTCATTGTCAACTGTGTACTGATTTTTAGTTCTCGTTACGTACTTTGTGCCGCTTTCCTTACAAATTTCGGTTTGCAAACTATTCGAATTCGATAATGGTTAGTGCTAGGGGTACAGTACCCCTCTCAATGTAAAATTTTGTATGGAAACTTGAACAGCAGCGCCACTTTGGACGTAACGGGAACTAAAAATCAGTACACATTTGACAATGACATTTCGGACTCGCAAACGTTACGAATTCTATTTTGGTTCGTGCTAGGGGTACAGTTCTGTCTCGCTAGCTCGATTGAACGTTTATTATATACAGACGTGTGCGTGTGTGAGAGGAACTTATGTAGTTGAGTCGGAGCATATTTTCTTTGATGCTAGTATGAGCGTACCATATCTTCCCTTTTCGTTTTAATCTAAGTGCGTTTATAATAGCAACAAAGCACTCGTGTTTGTGCGGGTATTGCATATTTTCGTAAATGTGCTTTACATATGTACCTAGTCCCCCGTAAAAATGGTGAAAATGTTTGTATGGCGAGTGATTGGTATGGCATCGCCATTTATGCTCTAAGGTCCCGACGATTAAAATAATAGTTAAAGTAGACAGCATTATTTATTTATACACTACTGGATTTGTATTTTCTTTTTAGTTTTTATTTAAAGTAATATTTAAGCAGTCGGGATTTTGATAATTTAAATTTAGGTACCTTTTTTAAATTTGTATTCCCATTTGCATGTTATAACTTTTTTCATTCGGTCGATCGACCAATTTCCATGTACCTATTCAATTTCATAAGCAAGTTATATTCGTTAGTCATGGCACCGTTCCACACAACGACAATTGGGTATTTAATAGACTTGTTTTTTTTCTTTTCAGTTTTTATTTGAAGTAATATATAAGTAGTAGGGTTTTTTGATTGATTTTAATTACATTTCCTACTAGCGGCCCGCCCTCGCTTAGCTTCGGTGTAGAGCTGAAGTGTAGACTACAGTTTTTGTTCTCAGGCTTGTATTATACACAATGACATTCATCTATGATTCTTCTTATACCTGCATGCCAAGTCTCAGCCCGATCGGTTTAAAATTTTCACACAAACTTTCATTCCTTATTTTATCCCCTTGGGGGTAGAATTGATAAAAATCCTTTCTTAGCGGATGCCTGCGTCATAACATCTACCTGCATGCCAAATTTCAGCCCGATCCGTCCAGTGGTTTGGAATGTGCGTTGATAGATCACTATGTCAGTCAGTCACCTTTGAGTTATGCAACCAATTGACCACAAAGGACATTGTTCAGCGTCCATACATAGTTAGCCTAAGAACCAACAATCATGAAATATTATTTTCTAGGTTCACAATCGTAACTAAATGACTGTAAAAACAAAGGTTATTGACGGACACTTCTGAGAACTTAAATTATCAGGAAAACTATTTTTTTTTGAGGTTATGTTTAATATTCAGTGAAACATAGGTCAACCTATGAATTTAGTATAAACTCAGTATGAAGTGAATTAATATTAAAACTAATTCATTTTATTCGGTGCGATTTTAAAGAATAACTATTAGGAAAAACTTGGTTAAGTAGGTAATTGTGTAACATGTAGGTTTATTGTGTAGGTTCACTAGCACTTGGTAATAAGGGCTCTCCCCTTTGGTAACATCGATGGCATATTAGATAGCCGTAATAGTTAAATTAAAGGAAAAACAATCGCAAATAAACACACACAACAGGTACTCCGAAACGAGAATGCACTTTCCGGTATAATAATACTTCTCTTTGGAATGCACGAATGCCACAGATTACTACGAATGCAAGCTGCATGCACCACAACCACAGAGTAACGAGTTTTATGCCCGCCCTTCACTTGACAACAGTTTGTCCTTGTCATGCTTAATAAGGATTGAAAAGGACGGACTGATGTTATGTTTTCAAATAGCAAATACGAATAGCCAAATGAAGTGCCGGCATTAGGAAGAAAGAGTGTTTTGTTTGCAGCGCTGCCATAGATTATACACATAAAATGGTATTTATTGTCTCAAATTATTTTTTTACTTTTTAATTTAGCTTTCTTAACTGGAAGTGTCCGTCACAATCTAAATACTGATAATTATCGCAAAAAATATACTAAGAATTATCGTAAATGCCAAATTGGTGTTGGTTCTTAGGCCAATTTTAACATTGTCCTTTGATGTGCGCTAAAAAAACAACACAGGATGGCAAACTGCAAATAGATGTTTTGAGCACATACTTAAATATCCGTGCCGCATATAGGTAGATAGGTATTTGCGTATTTGAAAACATGTTTGGCGTTGGGGCTTGGTTGGCGCCGACTTTATAGACTTTTATGTACCGGAAAGTTGCAGCAGCTGGCGCTTTACATGTTTTGATTTTGCTTCCAATATATTTAGGAAAAAAGCATAAAAACCCCATTACTATTGAGCTTGTTATTCTTTGCAGCTGTTAGAAATACCGTACGTAGAGAATGAAGCCAGTATGCTTATCGTTCTACCCGAAGAAAAGGATGCGCTTGATTCTGTGCTTCAGAAGCTGGCCGATGGTTTTGATCTTCTAGAAGCATCGCGCAAGCTACCATACGATTCAGTTGAAGTCATCATTCCAAAGTTCAAAATTGAAACAGAAATCGATTTAAACGTACTGCTGCCTAAAGTAAGTCCTATCATAACGATCATATAATATCAATTATTGTTTATTAAGATTTTAAGTTCCTGTTGTGACCTGTATGAACACAAAGTGATTTATAGAAGCAACTTCCACGCCCATTTCGTAGCAGGTTTCTTCACCACGTGAATGTAGAGAGCATATAGGTAGAAGAGTCATCATCGCTGCAGTGGATTCACGGCGCGAATTCACGCCATTATTTCACGGCACTGATGTATGGCGGCTCCACATTAGTGCCGTCAATTCACGTGCGAATTTATGCCATGAATTGACGGCACTAGTCGTGCCCTCCACATTCACGGGATGCTCACAATCGTTCGTGAAACCCGCCGCGAAATGGACGTAGAAGCTGCTGCTGCAATAATTTTGTTTGCTGTGGTAACATATCACTATTTAGACGTACAAAACAAGAAAGTAATTTAGAAAGCGTTGGAAAAAAAGAAGATGGTGGATGACTTCAATTTCGTAGCCGATCAAGGTATGTTTGCTTGTGTAGTGAATTTTTGAATTGACTTAGTATGATTATTTAATTAGTGATTACAACTGTCTTTATTAACTACATAAAATTCATTTCAGACTTTCTATGGAGAAGCAGTTATCAGAATTACATTCTGAACCCAGTGGCGAATTTTAAAAAAAATCTCGTATTTCAACAGTGGACTTTGAATATTTGCTTCAGAAAGTATCTCCAATTATATCCAAAACAGATACACAATTTAGACCAGCAATACCAGCAATTCGTAAGCCTTTGTAGTCCGCAGTAAACTGGCATGGGGCCGTGAATGTGGATGTGTACGCGTGAACGTCGCGCGAAGGAGGCGCGAACCCTTTGTCGCGGTACAAAATACCGACTCTGATCGGGGAACAGGCGTGAACACGCGTGAATGCCGCGAAAACCGTCCACATTCACGTTCACGCCTGTTCACGGATCTTCACGGCACTAATGTGGAGCCGCCATAAAACCGGCTGTATGGTGCGCAAAACCGTGCTATGGTTTGGAATCGTCTTTATTGGATCAATCGTACGATGACACGGTGCGTTCTCATGGTGCAATGATTTTCAAACATACAAATTTCTTGAGCTGTGTCCTTATTACAGCTCGTAAGCACAGGCATTGTTTAATAACGATCGTACTGTTATATCGAGCCTCGGAATTGGCGTTTTAAAAAAGGGATTAATGAAATTAAACATAGAAATTATAGTGTAGGTGAATTTGGCAGCCGTCACGGAGGTTCGGGAGAGACTGGCGCGCTCGAGAGGCGAGCGCGTCGGCTGGGGACAAAATGCTGATGCTGCAGCATCAGCTGGCCTGTCAGCTCAACAGCTAACATCTAAGGGATGTAACACCTCCCCCCTAAGAGAATAAACTTCAGGGTTAGTACTCTGAAGTTTATGTTACTTATTGACGTTAATTTAGAGGTTTCTTCTGATTTTAGGAGAAGGAGGGATTTCTGGGCGTTCGATCTTTGTCTGTATGTCGGTTAGTTCTACAGTTTCAGGTTCTGGGTTATTTCTTACTATATTCTTCCTGAAGACTATTTTAGGGATCCGTCGGTGATGACTGCCAGTCTTATTTATTCTTTTAAATAAAACAACGATACAAGATAGTAATGCGATAACAATAAATAATATAAAAAGTACAGAATAATGTGGCCCATATTTAATTAAATGGGGTTTATTTACAATTTCGTTCAGTTCTTTTAACATTTCTTTGTCTACATTGTTGGAAATAGGTAAGTCTTCGAAATTTAAACTATTCAGTTTTAGTGAGGGCATGCTATTCAAATTTTCCTTGAACTTATTTAAGTTACAACATGAATCGTTGATCAAATTAAAATCTAGGTTAACTGACTGCAAAGGTAAGTTTAGGACATTAACATCTGGTATAAGTTTGGCGCTTCTACAATAAGCTTTGCAATGCATTGGTATATTTACAATTCCAGTACCTAATATGTTTATATCTAATGGTTCTGAATTAAAACAATCTATGGTTAATTTACTGGATTTAGACTGTACAAATATCCATCTATTGTTATATAAAGGTTTCCAAATATCGAGTTCGCCTGTAATAAACTCTGTTTTACAGTATTTCGGAAGGGATGAAACTACTTTAGACAATAATTCACTCTCGCAATTAGGGTTAGCAGACGTCGGAAAGACATTAGTGATTTTACACAGATAATCCTGATTTTTTATAGCTTTACAAGTTGACAAATCATTCATATTACTATAATGAGTTTTATCCTTAGTTATAGCTATGTACTTACTGCTAGGGATTATGGTACTAAATGAATTTGGGTTGGTTAAGTTGTGAGGTACGGGTAACGGGATGTTGTTATACAAATACAATTCTAATGGGTTTACAAGAGGGATCATTACTACAAACATTATTTTCTTATTAACATAATAACTGATTAATTTTGACGTATTTATAATTACATGAATAAATCTTAATTCTAAAGGAACAACAAATTTCAGTTCGCCAGGTAAGTACTTATAATTATCGACTAATTCATTATACACTTCTTGTGGAGTTATAACAGATGGGTGAATAATGTTTGCACTACTAAATAGTATTGCATTTGTTATATCTTCGAGTTGAAAGGATAAGGTAAGCATTGCTGCTTCTAAATTATTGTAAATTGTATTCAATCCAGAGATTGCAGATAGGTGATCAGTTTTATTTGACAAGCTATTCAAAGAAAGGGAGAGTTTATCGATAGCAAGATTAAGATTATCTTCATTAGCTTTTAATTTATAAATACTTTCATTAAATCTAACTAGTGTAGCTCTAGTGACCAATATATGTTCTTTTACAAGCGAGGCGATTCTTTTTTGATCATCCTGTACTTGATTTATTGCGTTATCGTATTTTATTGCATCTTCCTCATCTAAGGTGCCAAATATTTGTTTCAAAGCGGTGCCTATTCCGCCAATCCAGGCCGTGCGCTTTGCCCTATAATAATAATAATATAATAATAATAATAATAATTGTTTATTCCAGGCATAAAAAACCCAATAAAAAGTCATATACAAAATTAAAAAAAAGTAAAAGTGTAAACAAAATAATAATAAAAAATAAAATAAAATCATAAAAGCATAAAAGACAGTAAAAGTCAAACAGGTATAATATTACCTACGTCATTTTCGGTTCTCACTCTGGTGCACTGAAATCCAGTATTTGAATAAAGGATTATCAAGTCCTTTGCATACAGTTTTGATTATGCTGTTATCAGAAAGACATATTCGTGACCAAAAAGAGGCTATACGTCTTCTCACAACAGCATAAAAGTCTGATATACGAGCATCTGAAAACATGCCCGACGCGCTACAGTATCTCGGTAGTCTCATAAGAATACGAAAAGCATCATTGTATTGCACTCTTATGGAACGGTACGAGCTACGATTAAAGTCAACCCATAGCTGGCAAGTATAAAAACATTGACAGTATAGGTTAAACAACATGAATTTAACCTCATCACAACATTTACCAAATTTTCGCGCGAGCATATTGCACCTCACCGATAATGCCCGCCTCTCTCGCTCAATATCGAGATCGTCCCTTCCGTTCTCTGTAAGGATGTGCCCGAGATACCTAAATTGCTGTACAACCCGAAGCACCGAACCATTCAACCATACATCAGGTACGTTCTCCGGACCCCGTCCCGCCTTGAAGATCATAACTTCTGTCTTTGCAACATTGTATTTCAACCCGTGAGCATTAGCATAATGTTCACAGATCGAAACAAGTTTACGGAGACCTCTGATTGAGGGGCTGAGGAGCACCATATCGTCTGCATAGCTTATATTATTTACACATACATCGCCAATATGACAACCGATACCAGTGCCCCTCAGCTCACCAATCAGATCATTAATATATAAATTGAAGAAGTCCGGAGAAGTCAACCCCCCTTGGCGTACCCCGCACTCTAGCTTATAGCTGCTGGAAGTCGTGTCGCCCCATCTCACACTATTAGTTTGATTATCGTACCAGTACTCGAACAGTGCTACAACTTCTTGGTGAACATTAGTGTGGCGCAGTTTTCTCCAGAGAACTTCATAGTTCACAAGATCAAATGCGCGGCTCAGATCAAGAAAACATGCGTACACAGACGTTTTACGGCGTCTGTAGTAGTCAACAGCATGTTTTACAGTCAATATAGCTGAATCTGTAGAGAGACCGGCACGGAAACCAAACTGGGCGTCGTCAATCTCAATGTTTCTCGAAACCTCGGGCTGCACAAGTCGTTCGAGAACCTTACCTATTACAGTCCCCAGAGATATTGGGCGGTAATTGTTGGACGCGCTCACATCCCCCGTTCTATTTTTAATAATTGGAACTATTATCGTTTTCATTAAATTATTTGGGAGATACGAGTACTTGAGACACATATTAAATAACTTAGAGAGCTTAGAGCAAAGCATACCGCCTGCGTGTAATAAATGCTCAATGCTCAGCTCGTCATGACCTGGTGATTTACCTCGCGCCATAGAGGTTATAACTTTAACCACGTCTTCCTCACTAAAGCGAATGGTAGTTTTCGGACAGACAGCTACCCTACCAGACTTGTTCGAAGTGGGCAAGCATGAAACAGGCAAGGGAGCAGTTTTAAAATTTTCAGCAAATAAACTAGCTATCTGGACCTTATTCTGCAAGCCGTCGACGCTAACTGGTAAGTTTTGCTTTATGTTCATTTTCTTTATGTTGTTCCAAAATTTAACAAAGTTTTTTTCTTTTCTATTAAGAGCTAAAATATTTAATTTAATTTGTTCTGCGTTTTTTTGACACCATCTTAACTTATTTTTGAAACTTCTTCTAGTATCTCTCATTTTGTTGTATATTTCACCAGAAGGTGGCTTACCCGAATATATCCAATAATTAAAGTGCAGGCGGTATGTGACATGCAATTCTTTTACGTGATAGTTCCAACCTATGACTGGACGTTTTTTCAATGCACCAGAGCGACACTCTGCAGTCAATTTAG